TATTAATATATTATATTATGATTTGTCCAAATTTCTTTGAATTCTTCTCGCAAATATAATTATTGACCTAAAGTAGAATATATCAATGCATATTTAAAACTCTTTAGCTTAAAATCTTACTAATATTTTAGTTAATTTGTAAGAAATCCGCACAGACAGAATTTTCTTAGGGAAGTCAAGAAAAGTATTAAACAAAATAATAAATTTAATTTAACTATTCTATATAGGCGGAAATTTCTTAAGAAAGTTGAAAAAGTTTTTGAACTGAAGTTATTTTAATTTACTTTAAATTGTTGTCAATTCATACTTGGATGTTTTCCTTTTACTATCTGTAAAATCTCTACTCTCTCGACAATTTTTTTCTAGTTGTGCTCTGCTTTTATAAAATCATTCACGTTTCGTGCGTTAAAGTCAGTTTATGTGATACTTAAAGTTGTCGATGGTCAACGGTAAGCGCGATTCGGGATTCAGTTTTGAGTGGGGCTGTCGAATTGCTGCTTCCGTTAGCTACTTACATCCAATTATCGAGTTGATCCCAGTGCAGAAGTCGATTCACCTCGTAGGGGCCGTGAGTGAGGGGCAGCACCCGATTATTGTCAATGTCCACGTGCACGATGTGCCGGAAATAGCCTGTCCGATTACGATGGAAGCGAGAGGGGAAGGAGGGGCGGAAGAGTTGATTGTGAATCGAGCTCAAAACAAAAGCCGGATTGACATATGGCTCACTTACCAAACGAGCCGTCGCGCAGCGGAGATATGGCCACATAGAGGCTCGCATTTGCCGCAAACAATGGCACCGAGACGGTGTCCACCCAGCCGCGTCCATCGCCGCTCACACGATGCGTCTGCACACAAGGATAAACAGACACACGCACACACATAAATTGACTATGAGCAGAAACAGGCTTAATTAGGTCAAATACAACCTACCTCAGTGCACACGAACGAGGGACTCCTGCAAACGCTGACCACGGATATGTTCTGCGGTCGATTCAGCCACACCACGGCGATCTCCTTGGCGCTCACCCAGCTGGCGCTGCTAAAGTAATGATCCCTGTAGGGTTGAAGGAGCAGACAAGTAGAATAAGTTAGCTGTGGAGTCAAACCCAAGGACCATCCATACGCACTCATTCTGCAGTATTTTTGGGGGTGTTAGATCCGTGATGTGTATCTTCTGTGGATCCGATAGGTCAGCCACGCGCAAGGTAACTGTGGGATTCTGTGTGCCCGGCTTTGGATAGCTGAGAAGAAGAGAAAAACCCATGGAAAGAGTGCAACCAAGTCTATCTATCAAGGGCAAATGTAAGCATTTCTATCAGGGACCGCAAATAAGAGTTATGAATATAACAAAATTGAGGCTCAAAGGGAGAGGAAATCACTCAAATGCTATTTTTTTTACTTATGTGTCTCTCTTTCCTGAATACTTCATTCTACTGAATTGCGTAAACTTTTGATAAACTATCTAAACTCCCAATTAAAATTGTAGCTCTGCATATCATCATCATCTAAGACCATAAATAACTAACTAAATGTTAAAATCATTTAATTTATCTTATTAATTTAATTGGATATATTTAAATTGTTTACGTGTTGTCAGTGATTCTAATCAGGCTTTAAATTAAGACAGCTCAATTTAAAATTTGGTTTTGCACTTGAGCTAAAGTTGAACGTTTAAATTCGTGGCATATTCAATTACCACTGATGGGATCTACACTTATCCACACACACACACAAACACGCATACACACACATTTGCATAAATAAGTCCCAAATGATGATATTACACTAAACACAACAGGTTAGTTGGCAATTTTGTCAGCTTCGTAAGCCCAAGGGACGAAGCAAGGAATTTGAGCATTTGAACCTTTGTGCATTTGGCAATTTATCAAATCGCAAATGACAGCAGCTCAGCTTCGAATTCTGAAAGGACTAACGTGGCCAAGTGCCAAAAGTCTTGCATTTGCTGCCAACTAATTTTAGTGTCCAGTCGAGCTAGTCGAGTGCAACTGACTGAGTGCTACTCTATACTCTGTCCCCTATAGAATAGTGATTGCTGAATGTTTTATTAAGAGCATAATGACTACAATTGGCATACAGCTTGTGATTGTATGGAATTCGGGATTCGATTATATCAGTGCGATATTTATTAGTCCCATTTATTCAATAGATAATTCGAAATCAGTATTCATCTGATATCAATTATAATATTAAATGTTTAATTTAAAAATTTTTTAAAACTGTCTCTACTCCACAGCTCCTTTCTGGATGATAAGGCAATATGATGTAAACAGAAAATAAGCTCGAACATTTATCATTTAATTTTAACTTGTTTGTTGATAGTTGTTTCTAGACGATATGCCTTCTAGTAGTTTGTGAACATCTTATAGGAATGCTGCTACACGTTCACAGCATTTTTATACCTTCCTTCATAGCTGGGCACATTTGGGCGAGCCCCGTAGAGATAGGGAGTGCCGAAAACTATCTGCACCTCATGAATTTTAAGCATTCGCTTACCCGAGCACTATTTAGGGCTAATGACAGTCACGAGCACATCATTAACACCTAATCGAAAAGTAATATTGCCTGGGACATGGCACAACTTACCGTAAGGATCTAATTTCCGGATACAAGTTGGCATGCGGATTAGTGCCACCAGCTGAGCCACCGCCCCCGCCATTTGCATTGCCAGTGGCATGACTCGTGCCGCCTGTCGCAGCACCACCTGCGGCGCCTGCAGAGGTGGTGCCATACCATGCAAAGTGCTGCTCCTGCACGTGTGTATCGTTGAAGCTGGCGTAGAGCAGCAGGTGCCCCTCATCCGGCAACCAAATGGCATTATTTGTATGCAGAATTTCCTCTAAGAACGGGGAGATATAATATGAGTAACGACTATGTCTGAAGTGTCACGAATATGTTGTGTTTCTTTATTGAATGATAACGATAATTGCCAACAAGCGTTCAGCTTCCTCTGCGAAAGGAATAGACTACAATATGAATAATGACTTGATAAGGAAATATTTCGCATCTGTAACTCTAACTATATATGTATGTGGAATTTTACTAAATTTTTTTACTGTAGAAGCGAATGCTGAATACTCTATATGTTCATTACAAAATGATAAATGGTTAAGATGTCTATAAAATATGTTTGCTGCAGTAGTTTCTATTTTAATTTAAATTTTTGTTTTGTGAAATATAATAGGAAATTTTAAAAAGAAAATAGAAAATAAATAATATAAGGCAAAGAGTTTTCTGCCATATTAAATAATATATCATCTTTCTTTCCTTCTTTTGAATAATATATATTTGCCTAATAGATACTTTTTAGTATTTTTATAATACTAGAGCTAAAAGTTGGAGTCCATTTTCTTGAAAATGTACAATTGGTAGTTTTCAAGCAATGAACTTTACTTTAGTTCACTAGTTCATTTAACACATGAACACTTCATGAACAGTTAGAACTGCCTAATTACCTAATTATCTTCATAGGTGATCTATTGAGTAAATGAGCGTGCTGAATCTACTTATTGCCAATATAAACCTACCTTCGTATAGCCAGTCGGGTATGCCGTTGTAGACAATACCCGGCACCGAGTCGTGAGTGACGCGATAGGCGTGTGAGTCACGAACTTCTTTGCGATAGTAAATATCATAGTTGTGCACCCAGATCAGCGCATTTCCAGAGTTGACGAATCGCGCATAGTGCATATAAGGCCATTCCTCCTGCTGGGGATCGTAGCGCAATTTAATCGCTTCGCTGCAAAGGGAATTGGTATTTATGAGATCCGCGGAGAGAGGCGGAAGTGGCCCACTTACCTCGTCTGTATGTCGAAGAGCGTGTACTGTGCCAAATACGAGTGCCGAAACAGCTTGGCCACATTCTGGGCCAGAAGCAGGTAACGCTTATCTGCTGATATGCTGAATGCGAAGGGCGCCAGGGTTTTCTGTGCACATAGAGAAGATGCGCCAAATTAGTAGCAGCTCATTCAAAATGCCTGCCATTAAGTGCGTTCTTCGGAATGTTGAAAGCTGATTTCAAATGAATTTTGCACTCAAATGGCTGTTAAGCAGCTGCCATAACAATGCGTCGTTTACATAATGGCAAACGCTGCGTATGCGTAATTTTAATTAACATTTTTTAATTGCTTGCACAGCGCGTGCTCTGCAAATGCGCTCATCTCAGCTGTACGAATTTCTAATTTAGATTTGTTAATTAATCGCTGAAGTACGCCAGATAAGGACAAACTGCCTCAAATGGCTTTCTGTGAAACTTGAACAAATAAGTGAAAGTGTGCCCGGATAGGTATCTAGTAAGTCACTTCAATCTATTTGCTTAGCTGACAAACAAAACGAATTTAACCTGAGGCCTTAAGTGTCTTATTCAAATCAAGCATTCAATTTGTCTCAATTTACATAAGCCGACAATGTTTTTCCAAAAAGTTTTTGCATTGAAAATAAACTTTTATATAATCCCTTGTGTTTGTTTGATGAAACTACTTCTGCTATTTACGATTATTAGCATTCAGAATTATTGAACTAAAATTAAAATTGCTGACAAGCTGCATCCTTCTAATAATGAAATTTATTTAAACGCAGCATATTAGCATTTGGGTATATTTATTAGCGCTATTTATCTTTGTTTATCTTTGTATTAAATTAATTTTGCAATCAACTGCTTAGTGAAACTATATGTCTTATGTTAAATTAAATTATAAATGCAATTATAGCTTGCAAGATTTTATTTAGTGCAACTATATATCATCCTCTAGCACTTCAATTAATATTTTATTAGATTTTTTTTATTTAAGCCTTAAATGGCTTTATATAGCTTTACGTAAAATGACTGAAAACTGGCTCAAATATATTATTTTATTGCTTACAACTGATTTATTAATTTGAGTTTATTCATTAGAGTCTTAAGCGCCAAGTGCATAAGTAAAAAGAAAACCTATCCAAGTCTTGATTATTCCAGCTGCTTACTAAGTCGATCATTTGAATTAAATCCAAGTTTAATCAGCTAAACATTATTGTTTACTTTCGAATTGAATTTGTTTAGTCTCAACTACTATCTAACCGGGCTGAGCGATTCCTTTCTACTGGCTGCTCATTAATTATTAGCCGAGTGTTGACACAAGCGATTGTGTTTGCTTTGCATGTTGCAGTTGTCGTTTGGCAGTCTGTGGCACTTGTTGCTGCATTTGTTGCTGGAAGAGAGCAACCAATGGGTGTTTCGCAACTGTCAAATGTGGGCTCCACTCCTGTGGGCGCCTTCAGCGTGTTGCCTTATTTGTTTGTTTTTCAATTTCAGAACGCGCATTATTCATTAGAAAATTGTTTCAGCCGAATAGCTACCCCAACCCTTGAATACATGTAAATACATACATATACAAATACATATCTATATATATATTTCCTGGCTCATGTTTACCCAAGCATTGACATAAGAATCGTTTGGCTTTTATCGTTATGGCGTAGCGATAACTTGGCTCATTTGTTTTTGCCTACTTTGCTGCGTTCCCTATAGTCTGTCTGTCTATGTACGTGTGTGTGTGTGTGTGTGTGTGTGTGTGTTTGTATTCACGTCTATGTGTGTGTATCAGTTAACAGTGCCTGCCAACTGTTTGGCTGCCAAGTCAAGTGTGTACACTTGAGATAGCAGTAGCCGCGCCCCCTTGCCGCCCACACCCCCAATCGTAAATAACATGCTGCAAATATTTATTCAGCTCCCAGATAAGCAATAAGCATACACTGCAGGCCCACAGCGATGGCCAGGGCAAGGGATAAAAATGTACTTACAAATGTCACATTAGACATGAGAATGCGTTCCGTGCGATTGGCTGCATTCAGCAGGCAGATGCGACCCAACTGATCCTGATACAAAAACTCCTCAGCTGCGAAACGGGAAAAGATTAAATGAAATACTGTGAGCTCTGGCTTGGGTACATTTCCACATGTCCAGTTAGGATGTCAGTTAATAAAAGTTTTTAATATGAGTTTATTTAAAATTGAAGAAAAAAGCTAACGATGTTTAAATTGCTATAAAATGTTTATTTATATTATTAGAGGGGGGCAGCAAGAAAATCATCTCCGAGTCGGTACTTGTGGAGGTCAATAGAGGGGAAAAGACAGTGCAAGTAAATTTCTGGTAAAAAGTAGGCAAAAATCTTTCTTTAAATATCAGTCAGGCGTCGTTATTTCAATTTAATTACAAACAGTTATTTGTATATGATTTCACTTGTCTCAATTTCACTTTAATTGACTTCCTGATAAGATAACATTTAATTGAAAGCGCATATTTTATAATAATTAATTTTCATTCCATGCTCATATTGATTTTATTGTATGATGAATAAATATTTTCCGTGACAAGCAATTAATTCAGTAGAATTTAAATGCTATGTGAGCTCTTCAACTCCCTCAATTGATGAATAGACAATGTTAAGCATTGAACTACATTCGATTTTATTTGGATATTGTAAAGAGATAGACATTGAAGGTGAAAATCCTTTTAAATATATTTATAGATGAAACACAACAACAAAAATTCTGAATAATTTTGAAATTAACTATCCCCTTTGAAATGGAAGGACATTAATCATGAAAAATCAATTAGCTCTTCTTCATGTTTTGTAACCTTAGAATCTTTACTAACAGATAATTTAACATTAAAGCTTAGCCATTGAATGTGAGATTAATTTTAAGTATATTTACAGACGAAAGACAATATCCAAAAATTCTGAATAATTTTGAAATTAACTATCCGTTTTGAAATGGAAATGCATTAATTATAAAGTGGACCAATTAGCTCGTCTTCGTGCTTTGTAGCCTTCGACACTTAACTAGCAGTTAAGCCAACATTAAAATTTATGAAGGTAATTAACAGTAAGTTAACATACAATTTAGTATGAGTGACACACCTTAACTAGACATTGAGGAAGAGCCTATGCTACGAGTAGAGTTGGGTTTATCTTGGTTTCAACTGCTATGCTTACCATCGATCCAGCTGCCATTCGCGCGCTGTGGAACGTAGAGTCCGTCGACAATGTCCTGCAGCTTGATGCGTTGCCCCTTGACGCGCGGTCCCTCATCGGGGGGCGTGAGCAGCACCTTTTTTGATAAATGCAGAAATTTTATATGTTGTTTTCTATATGCGCAGTAGGACAACAAACCACAACAACGAACGAGAGAACAACATCAACACAAAATGGAAACAATGGGAAAATGGAATAGGAATTTCAAAGAGGTGCACACAAATATCACGCAGCCAGGTTGTAAGGAAAGAAAAATAAATAAACAAACAAAGAAGAAGACAAAAATGAGCGAAACGTATTTACACAAACAGCATTTGAGGTTTTCAATTGTCATAATACCCTGTTCACACTGTGCAAGCGAGAGTATTCGCGCTCGCATAAAGTCTGAAAGCTGAAAGTAGTTCGATAACTGTGAACAGAGTATTACAAAGTCGGTATTATCCGACAGAATTTCGACATCTTTTTCATCTGTACATTGTGACCATAAAAAAATACAATTGCAATGGACTATTGTGAATATTGTGGTTTTATGTGTATGTGTATGTATTTGTACAGTCGTGTATGTGTGAGTGAGTAAATATTGCGTTCGTATTAATTTCATTTGGAATATGTTTCCTTTTGGTTAGGTACAAAGTTACAACACCGAAAATTCTTGGAGTTGGATTTTTAATTAATATTTTCATTGCATTGAATCAATTGAATTTTCTCTCAGGGAATGTAATGTGTACACTGAAAATATTTACCACGGGCTTGCCACTTACCACCGAGGTTACAATCAGGGCCAGCACAATGATAATCACCAGCAAAGCGATGAGAATGCCGCGCCAGTTGCGTTGATTCGGGTTGCTAGAAACCAACTGGAAAAGGGAAATGCGGAAATTATAAAACAATGTGCAACAAGAGCTACAAGAAAATAAAAATATTCTTAGGGTAAAATAAAATTTGGAAACCCATTCGAAATTCCTTGCAGTCTTTACTTGATATAATTTCAATATTCTTTATTCACATGATAGATTTTTATAAATTTTACTTTCTTAATTGACATTTGATTTCTTCACTTTCAATCTGTTAATTTATATTCTAAAAACTTACTTTGTGTTAAATTGTTCATATTTCGTAAGTGCATTTTTCTATATACTGCATGGGAATAACATACTTCAATCACAACAATTTCCAGATTTCTTTTGTAATACGATATAAATTTACCAAAAAATAATTAGAATACCCTCAACAAATTGTTGAGCAAAAAACACAATTAAAGCCACGTGCTACAAATTAGAGACCCGAAAACATGTGCGGCCACAAAAATCAGAAGCAAATTAGAAGCTGGCCAAAGGGATGCAACGGAAAGGAAACCTTTTATCCCAGTCCACTCTCAACTTATGATTCACCAAGTTTAGGGCCTGCCACAGAATATTCAAGGTTCAACAGCCTGATTAATTTATGTATAAGGAGGCAAAACTTACTAGACAGTGCACGCACGCACACACTGACATACACAGACATTCACACACGCAGTGTACGCTCAGAGAAAGAGTCAAGTTACATTAACTCGAATATGTCCTTGTTCTCAATTTCTTCAGCAGAAAACAAAATTTATATTTCAAACATTCCTCCAATACTGAAAATATGCCTAGTAAGAATACTTAAATGAATTAACAGATATCTTATAGACAAGAAAGGCCTCTATATTTAAGCCTTTAGTGTTGTTCATTTTAAAAAACTTCAAATTAAATTAAAAACATACTCTCCATTAAAGATGCTACAAAATAAATTAGTTCAGGTATAAGCATATATACAAAGCACAGTTATTTTCTGTATTAGTCATATACATAGTTCAAAACATTTTCTAATGCATATATTTTGTGGAAAGATTGTTTTAAAAGGTTTATAAAATTTAATTTGTATGTCGAAATACGATATATCTCTTAACAAGTATATGACATAAATTTAAGAAAAGCCAGAATTTATTTTCCCGGGTATTAAAGATACTATAAAAAAATGATGAGATTTCGCTCAGTGTGCAGTTAAGTACGATGTTGATCTTAATACGATATATACTTTAATAAATATACGATATATATTTTAAAGACTCCACACTTTGAATTCTTCAACATATTCAAGATACTACAAAAATAATATGGGTTTTCGCTCAGTGTATAATTTGTAATATAGATGTCTGATGTTATGCCTGCATGCATACAAATTGAGCCGCAGCCAATTCTTTACAATACCCGCGCCTAATGCATACTTAATGTAGTCAATAAACAGCGAAACAATAACTACAACCAACATTTTATCAACGTTTTTATTTTTTTTGTTTTGTTTCTGAGCAACAACTTTGCGAAATGTGGCAATCCTAACAAACGACTCGTACGCGCTGACACCGACTTCTACTCATTTTATCGGTTGGCATAATTACTCTGTGGGTTAGTGATTAAGTCAGTTGGTTAGTCAATCATGTCAGCCATAAACATTTACGGCTATATATACACACACACACATACACATACAACAGATTTCCATAACAGGATAATTAATTAATTATGCTGAGCTAGAGCTTTTGCCTAGCAGAAAAATATAATTACTTATTAATTGTGTGCCGGATCTTAATCAGGTGGAAATCGTCTAAAGCAAGGGCAAATTATCGAAGGAAATCAATACAGAAATTAGTTACCCATTTGTACAGAATTAATATTAAGAAGAAACGGCTCATTAGTATGTCTAAGCGAAACTTAACTATGCAAGCTTAATATTGTTCAAGCTTCCTTATAAACAAGTAAGAAGGCTCCAGTCGAGACTGCTCGACTAGGAGATACCCTGAACCCTCCAAGCTGATATTCTAATCATTCTGCACTTCTTTTATGCACACATACAKAYACATGCATCCACACGCACGCATAAGCCTGCGTTCTGCTAACTGCGCAGTAAGCAGCGACTGCGCTTGGGCTGCGCTGCAGTGTGAGCAATATTATGAGAATTTATTTGCTGAATAATTTCTTTTGTAGACATACAATCTTAATGAAACTCAGAGAGCTTCAGAGCCTGATGATATGGTTGAAATGTGTGTGCATTCCAAAGCACAAGTCTCTAGTACTTGAAATGCGTTTTTTACAAATAGTGGGCAAAGGGGGTGTGGTATCCAAAATCTGTAAATTACAAAATCTTCGTATCAACTGTATATACGCAATAAATCAAAAGGCTCTAGGTCGAAAAGTATTCAAATTAGGCTGGAAAAAACAAATTCATTTTTTCGATTATTCTCGATAAAAAAGTTATTGGATGAGTTATCGAAAAAAATTGTACTGCGTATGGTACACACGAGAATGCATTCCAAATTTCAGCTCTCTGGCTCTTGTAACTTCTGAGATCGACGCACTCATACCGACGGACGGACGGACAGGCAGACGGACAGGGATATATCGACTCAGCTCGTCGTGCTGATCAAGAATATATATACTTTATGGGGTCTGCCACGCCTCCTTCTGCACGTTACACACTTTTTCACAAAACCATTATTCTCTGATTTCTCATTTTCAATAAAAACCAAAAGCCACATTCCGATTAAAAGAACATGGGACACTTAAGCTTCCGTTAGTAAAGAATATTTCAAAAGTGTCTTTTCAATTTTAGAAACGAAAATAAAAATATCTTTGTCATGGGAAAAGTAGTAAGATAGTAGGGTAATTTTTGCAGAGATTTGCATGTAATGTACCAATATTGTATTCGTACAGGAGCAACTAATTCTTATAGCAGGAAACTAACAAAGCTTAAAAATTGTTTTAATATCTTATTAAATAAATTTAATTTACCATAAAACATTTAGATCTATATGTTGCTTAGTTTAGGTGTTATAACTAAAATATCATAGAAAGACACGTGTTTGGTGCCAACAAAATCTAATACAGTGCGCTGTGTATAAGAATTACATATTCATTAAATACAAACATGTATTTTAATTTAAAAAACTTTATCACAGAAATTTCGAAATATTTATTTATCTATTTAATGTTTAGCTTGCTAGCTAGCTGGCTAGTTCGTCCGTCAGTGAATATATAATTGAGAATAGGCATAAGATCTCAGGAAAATATTCCAGCAAATCTAGCAAATGAATTGCTAACGTGGTCAGTGGTCGTAGCTTTTTATCTGTCTATCTCCCATTTGCTGTTTTGTTTCGATATTGATATCTATTGACACAAGCTGATATGGAGAGACTTTGTACTGTGCAATTTAATATATTGTGATTTGCAGCTGCAAACTAAAAAAAAACAAATGGGTTCAGGGTATAAAACAGTCCAATATATACTAAGTGAAAATAATATGAATCTGTGCAGACTCTGTTGTTGTAGTTGAGCGAATCCGTATGAGTGTAATAATAAAGTTGTAAAGTTCGAAAACACAAATTGAATTTCCCACAAATATCGCTGCACACTCTCGTCTTCTGAAGTACCGAGATGAGATGCGGTGAGATGAGGAGCATCAATTGGTGTGGAAAACATTAATTTCGCAATCAATTCACTTGTTCCAAGAGCATGAATGACCACCATTTGGCTGGTTACGCCTGGCAGCGACTTGCTCTGTGATATTTTTAATGTTGTCCGATTCATCATTGAAATCGCATAAATATTTGTTGGCAACCATTGCAATTAGAGCAGTTGCACGTAAAGGGCCGCGGGCTACAATTAACAGAGACCACAGTTGTTGAGCAGGTGTTGCACACGTGCGGCACAGGTATTTCACCCAGATATGCTCATGTATATTTATAAGCCACACACACTCGATTTTACGAGTGCCTGAAGCAACAACGAACTGAAATGAAAACCGAAAACTAGAGACTAAAAGACCTCGCACACAATACACAAAAAACTAGCGAACCCAGCTCTGGCTGCAATATTTTGCTCACTATTGATTACATTTGATATTTTCAGTTTTCTCTTCATATATTTTTTAAGCTATTGATGGCAGAGCAAGAGGAAGCAGCTCTTCGTTAACATCTGTAAATTTCACTAGATATGCGCAAATATATTTAATAACTAGAGGGTTGGCTCTTGATACTTCGTTTAATTGAATTGGATTCCTGTTGTTTGTGTTTTGTGGGTACAGCACGCCTGTCGGCACCTTAAGGACTTTGTCTTAGCTTGTGCTGAAGAAAGCACTCAACATGATTGCAGTCGAATTTCTCGGCGAATATGCAAATATAACGAGCATAAATGAAATTTAAATGCTCAGCTTGATGAGTTGCCGTTAACGTTAAAAGAATTAAAAGTAATTTGCCGTCATCCATTTTGCCCACAGCTCAAATTTGATCAGGCTATCCGGAGCCGACCATGGGGCGTATGCGTGCTATTTATTTCAATAAATTTTTAATGGCCCGCAATTAGGCGAAGCTAAAGGTCCTGCGGCAAGCAGCAACTGCTGCGAAAACAATGATTAAGTCAATGTTCAGAGCTATTAAATCAACCCAAGTTAAGTCAAGCCAACTCTGATAACAATTTAAGAATGGGGCTTTACTCACAGAAACGACGAGAAACTTTACTGAAATTCTAATTTTGAATACAAGTCGAATGGATTACGGCTTCCCTGTGATTGATTGATTGACATGCCTTGAATGAATGACTGATGGAATAACAAGTAAGAAAGGTCTAGTCGAGACTGCTTGACTACGAGATCCCCTGAACCCTTCGAGCAACTGATATTTAAATAATTATTCGCATATGCACACATACACGCACACACACAGACACACGCATTAGCTGCAGTGCACTGCAGTGTTCGCTTACTATGGGAAGTTAAATGTTTAATAACTTTTTTTGTGGATGGACTATCGACATGAAACTTTCAGATTATGAATATAACATAGATAGCCAAAGCCCAAGTCCCTAGTATTTAAAATACGGGTGAGGGGGTGAGTTAGGGGTAGGGGTAAATTTTGACAAAACCCGAAATTGTATAAAATGCATATAAGTATACTTAAAAATTTTGGAGACTCTAGCTTTAGAAATGTAGGAAATATAAATTTATTTCTGAGTTTCGATAATGTTTCTAATCGATAACAAAATAACGGGGCAAGTTATCCATATTTAAAGCAAAACTCGATATGCACGTGCTATACACGGGCCTAGGAAAAAAATTTCAAGTCTCTAGCTCTTATATATTCTGAGATCGACGCGTTCAAACATACGGACAGACGGACAGAGCTAAATCGACTCAGCTCGTCGCCCTGATCAAGAATATATATACTTTATGAATATAAAAAGGTACAAAAATAGTGGAATTTGTATGCCCCAAAAAGTAATATACATATACATATGCCTTAATCAATTGCCTTAATGCTTAATGATACAAAATAGACGCAAGACTGATATATTGACTGACTGACTAACTACGGGCATCACAACATTGACCATATTTCTATTTAGTTTGCGAGCAAAACTGATAAAAATTAACGATTAATTCTCTGATTGACTGTCATTGGTAAGCACAAAATAGAAGACTATTTCAATTCTCTAATACACCTTTGGGTGGTTGCTTAAGCCGATTGATTAACTGATGGACGGACTGATGATTAATGCATACCTGAACAAAGGAGCTTAGCACCTGAATTTGTAAGCACAGTTGCCAGGGAGCTCTGCTTAGATTGTGTTGGGACTGAGGGTCCACAATGAAATCAACAACATTATTAGCTCATTTTGGAGTGAAGCCTCCCTAGAGAAAACGGCGTTGTTTGCTATTCGCCTCGTTAGTTGAGCTAAAGCTGAAGTTAAAGCACCAACATTCACTTTGCCATCGAGTTAAAGTTGAAGGTCTGGAGCTATGCACAAATTAGCTGCAATACGCTGGCACTTCAGCAAGAGAACCAAGAGCGTATTTCTACATAATGCCCATAATGGACTCGCTGGCCCCTCTGGCAGTAACAGATACTGGGGCGAGTGCCCGCTGAAACGGACAACTGGTCCTTCTTCATGGGATATATGTATATATCCACTTGCCACTTCACCCTCTCCGCAGGCAGCCCTGCTCTCTAAGCGCATTAGCTGCCTTTGCGGTTGAGCTGAGAGCATTGCCAACTTTTGCAAATTTCTTCCTTTATTTCTTTTTGCTGTTGTTGTTGCTGTTGTGTAAAAGTTCAAAGTTGCCTTCAGTTATTTGCATTAGTTTCCAGAGTTATTAAGCTGTGAGCGAAAAATTTACGCTGCATACACTTAAGCGCATTAAATATGGACACCGATTGAGGACGGGAGGGCAGAGTGGCTAATTCGCCCAAAGGACATTCAGTGACGTTCAAGGGGATCAAAGTGAAGTTTACTCAGGTGCTAAGCGCATTTAGCCTTATGTATGTGCCGACAGTTGCATTGCTCAAATAGAGGCGTTCGACAACTTTTTCTGCTTAAGTAAACGTCTTTTAATCGGCTTATGTATGTAGCCTAATATAAATAATTCCCTTGATGCTAATTAAAAGCTTTCTTGGAAACAATTCCACCTTTGTGGGTCTGACATATTTTAGGTATTAAGTTACTCGAGTTGTATTTTGATAATGTACATTTATATTCCACTTGAATTTCATTTTGTATTACGAAATCAATTCAACTACTGCTATCGCTTCAATTTATTGTTGAAAATATCGAATCAGCTGTCCTTCAATAGGTTGTTCCTTTTGCCTTACCTTAGATTTGTTTTTCTTTTTTTTTTTTTTGGCGTGTAAGCTACGTTCAAAGAGTTGGCAGCTCTTGTAAATGCTGAAAGCTTCCAACAATATTGCATTTTGCAACTGGGCGACATTACAAGCCAATCTTTATGGCTTGCTGCCTTCCTGACAAACATGAAATCCATAAACAGACCCACAGGGCACGACTGCAAAGGATACGCAGACACATCCTAGCATCCTAGCATGCTACTGCTGCAATTGGAGAGGATGGTGCGAGCCGAGGCGGGACGGTGCTCGCATTAGGCAACTCTGTCGACGTTGTCGTCTGTGTCTGGCTTTCCGGTGCGCTAGTACCATTGTCTGTGTCCCGTTTCGCGCTTTACCGCACCGCACCGTACCGTACCGCACCGCCTCCAATGGCTGCCGTTGTCAACAACAGTTTAGCTCAAGGCCGTAAAGGCATAGCGTTCGCTATAACTGCCACGCGCATCTTCAATCTGTCCCTGTATAGGTGTATGTCTGCGTGGGTGTGTGTGTGTGTATCTGCAGCTCGCTGTGTTTGCGTCCATGTCAACACATACTCAAGCTTCCATTACATGGCCATGATTGCTTTTTCTCTCTCGCTCTCTTCCAGCAGGTGTCGCGCCTGTCAAATGTCGTTAAGTAACACGAATTTGTCTTTGAAGAATGCATAAAACACATATTTAATATGCCAACACTGATAGTTCGAATGAAACGTGGCGTTTGACTGCGAAGCTGTCACACATAAAAGTAATTTATGATATGTAAATAACAGTATATTACAGCCCTTACGATTATTTAGTCTGATTGATTGTTGTGCCTAAACACTTGAAGAATATTAGAAAGGAAAGCAGCTAAGAAATTTATTTATTTACTAATATCAGCCTTCATATATCAGATTATGTAAGGTTTTTACATCGTCAGTATATGTAAATAGAAAATATGCTCTTTAAGCTGTTCTCTTAATCCAAAACTAATTATAAACTGTTCAGCCGTGCAATATCTGCTAATTATGTACAAAACTCTTAATCAGTCGCCTGCAGGCCTTTCAATTTAACTGTAATTCGCCTGGGTGGCAATTGTTCGGAGTCATTAGCCCGGAATAATTAATGAAGACAATCGATTGTGACAACACTGTTCCAATTGAATTCAACTGCGCCTGGGGTGGGCAACACTTTTCGCTATGCACTTAGCGGGAAATAGAGCTATGAGCTTGTTCATTTATCAGTGCATATACATGAATATATATATGTATATATATAGAGTTCAGTCAATCATACGGAATAGTCTGCACTATATTGTTCAATTGGTTATGAACAAATTTGCCTTGTTAAATCGTTCATGAATGGTTCATTTCGATTAGCTCGGCTGCTGTTCACGAACCATATGCTTTTATTCAAACGAATTGTTCATGACTGAGCTAGTGAATGAGTAAAAATGTTCATGACTCGCAAATGAACGTTTTTCAGTAAATTGAATTCGCTTCGATGATTGAACTAATTCGCAGCTTGAACTACACGCATCTAATTGCTGCGAAAATGCCTGAATATGTTTGATTGTCGTTTCGACGGGCTGTTTATCTTTTAGCATTTGTTCAGTACTCAGCTCCACTGTCGTTCCCCTTCTGCCCCTCCTGCCTGCTTCTTTGTCTTTGTATTCAAATGGCACACACGCAACGCTTTGATAATTCAATTTTGCATTTGTTGTCAGCGTCCTGTCAGCGCTTTGCATTTGAATTACATGCGGAATTTATTTCAATTATCGTGGCTGCCGGCTGCACAGTGGTGCGCCCCTCTCCCCTAGCCCCTCGCCCACCTCCGGAACGCCGCCAAGTGTGCAGCGGTGCGTGAGAGTGCCTGCTGAAGTTGACCTAGCCATCAGCATCTGCATTAAAAGGCTAGATGATGCTCAAGTTGCTGTTCCCTGCCAGTTGTTGAATCAACTTTTTCCTCCACTTTCTTCTTTTTTTTTTGCCAAGTGTTGCACTTAGTCAAGTTAAAATCTGAATATTGAAGTGCTGCTCTAGCAGACCAAAGAGATTTTTCACTCACTTATTTTGCGAACTGGTTCAGTTTATAAACAGGTTTTCAATTTAGAGAATTTAATGCACGGCCAGAACTCAAAGCCAACAAACTTTTCATTCAATAATTTTTTCCGTGGAACCTATTGAAATTAAATTACACAATGCTGAACGTTTATCCACAAAGGAAAACACTAATACACTCTGATTCCGATTATTTTATTTTTCAATTATAAGTATTTATTATTTTTATTTTATTATTTTTATTTTAATTTTTTTTACTTTATTTTTCCTTAATTTATATTATTCCTTTAAATTTAACTGTCTCTGAATAACTCGGAAATCTTAATATAAACATAATTTGTTTTCGTAACTCTCTCTCTATCTCTCTCTTTATTTTCTGTTAAAATATTTTATGCTGCAAAAAACTTTAGCTCCAAGTAACCTTAAGGACAAATTCTAAATCATATTTGCACACGCGCTTTTAGCTTGAAGGTCATTGCAAGCGCAATTCCCGCCAAGCAGATACTGCGTACACTGAGAGAAAAGTGCGCTATGCAATGCTATGCCTATGCATTTGATATGTGGAATTTCATCTGTTATCCATTGACAAATTTATGCAGATCAGCAAATTTGGACTTTCGAAATACTCAGTCATTTTTTCAAGTGTATGTCCAAAATAAATGTATAAAAGCTCAAAGTACTGAGGGGAGGGCCGCACGCACACGTGCTTAAATATTTGTTTTAAAATTAATTATGCCTAATGATATTTATGCATAAAACATATTTATTTGTCAGCGTGTGCATGTGTGTGCTTTTGGGTATGTGGGTGTGTTGATTGTAGCTGGTTGAAGAATGAAAATTACCTCATCATCGTAATTATCCTGCTCAGGCATGACTCGGCTTAAAGCGGCTAATGCGTGGAGCACAGGATGTAAATTTTCTTTTACTTTTTTTCACACAATGCCAGCGCAACTGTCGATGGGCGTCTGGGCGTATGGGCGTGTCCGTGGGCGTGTCCCCTGCACTGATAAATTGAAAATGCCTCCAGTATCTCCTGCTGCTTGCCGGGGCTTCTTCGTCTTTGTCCTCGCTCAACTTTGTAGATTGCTAATCGAATATATCAATTTCCCGACAACAATTTGCAAGTGCTCTTAATTTGTCTCCTCTCTTCCCTGAAAGGACTTCTTCTTCTTCTTCTGCTGCTGCTGGTGCTGCTGTTGCTGCTTTTCTGGAGCGCATCAGCTCGCCGGCATCCTGCAGAGCTTTGAGTGGCACAAATTACTTCTGTTTGCTGCCCAAGCTATGTTCATGCTTTACTATGACGTGGGCCGGGGGCGTGGGGCGTGGCCTTGACTTTATGCGAGGCACAGCAACTGTATTCGCCTTGATGTTGCTGCTGCTGCTGTTGCCTGCCGTAATTATGAATACTTTGTCTGGCTGTCTAAGTTGACTTAGGAACTTGTCGTTTGGCCCTCGTAATGCGCTTTTGCTGTTGTCCTAATGAGCCGCCAGCCCAGTTTGGGACCCTCTCTCGCTGTTTCGCTCTGGCTGAAAGTCTGGCCAAAAACTTGACACTAATGATGCAGCATACTTTTAGGTCGAGCGCTAAATTGAAAGAGAATGGAAAACACATTTAAAACACTGCATCAAAGTCAAACATGAGCACAATTCTCCAAGTGTTGTTATTGTTGTTGTTTTTTCTTTTGTTGTGTTGTTGCATTTTCCAGCGTGTTGTTAGTGCCAATTTTCGTGTGTGCAGGTGAGTGTGTTGCGTATATGTGTGTGTGTATGTGCCACACATTTGCAGCAGCTGATACAGTTCGTGTTCTTGTTGTAGAGCATTTGTTAGTGCTTATATAATGCATGCCGCACATACGAATGTGAATGGATGTCTGTGTGAGAATGTGTGTGTGCGTCCTTTGCTAGCGTATGTAGGTTAAGTCGTCTACACAGTAAAAAACTATGTTGGCTCAGATATATTCTATTCTATACTCTATATATATTTTTATTAAATATGGAGTATATTATATAGAGTATTCCATATATTCTTATTAAATCCCAACTAACTCATGGGTAAGAAAGAATAAGAAATAAATGAAACATACAAAATATGCAAATATTTTAAAGAATATGATATCTGTCTTTTCCACTGTCCATTTGCATAACCTTAGGGCAATTCGCCTTGACAGCGTACGACTTAAAATATACTCTTTTTGCTTTTTAAGTTCAGTTTGGTAGTTAACTATTAACCATATGCAATGCATAAATAACCATATACTAATGTAAAAATAATTATCTCCTAATTTAATAACAATTATCTCTTTCTCCTTAAAGTAAACAAAATCCAGAAGTTGTAATAGAAATAATACCGAAAGGTTCGATTTAATTCCTTAGTCCTGAGAATATATATTGAATTATGTTTAGATTAACTTGCTAATAGTAAACAAGATACTCTAAACTGTAAATAATTTATCAAATAAAAACAAAAGCTGAAAGAAATCTTAGAATTAAATGCATAAGAAACAGCCCTATAAAGTAGGCAACGCTTTTTAGTGCAAGATCTTTCTCTCCTTTGATGTTCGCTTTCCTCATACTGCATCTACTAGAGGCTGATTAACTCACTGAAATGCTAACTAAATAGTTTTTTAATTAGGTAAATTTTTGTTTCCTGTTTTTTTTTTTTTTTTTTTTTGCTGTGTAGCGTCTTAAATTAACATAAACAAAGGACAGCGCCAAAAACTTGGCAATGTTGTTTTCTAATTACAATTTTGTCACACGCTCTTGTTCTGCGTGTTTTTGGACTGTTTCTTGTTGTTGTTGTCGTTTTGGTTGTTGTTGGTGTTGTTGTTGTGGGCAGCATGCTGTTAACCTTAAAAAGTAAACGCATTCGGTATGCTAAAGTGTTGCATGCAATGCGGCACGTGGAGGGGGCGGGGCAAAGCGGATTATTATAGCTGGCGCTTTTATTATATGCAAATTAGTTGATCAAGTTGCTATGTGTGTGCGAGTGTACGAGTGTGCGTGTGTTTGTATGTGTGCAGTTGTGTAGCGTTAATAGCATTGCATTTGCAATTTAAGTTATGAAAAGTTTCTTTTGCACCGCCGCCTAAGCAGCATTTTATGCAAAATAATTGTGCAGAGAGTGTGAAAAAACCATGGAAAGAGAGAGTGAACGAGGAAAATGTGGGCAAGAAAAGTATGCATAACAATTACAATTAGTCAAGTTAGTGATTAAGGAGTGCTCAGGGCCACTAAAGTAGTTTAAAGTCCGGTTTACGGAATTATTGGAAAAAGGACACAATAGTTATCATAGTATATATGTACATAAATAATAGAGTAACATTTGGTTATAGACTATACTCCAAATTTTAGTTCTTTACTTAAATTATTTCCGCACCATTTCTAAACTTCTTGTTCTTCTTCCACTTAGCCATTCACCATCTACACACTCACACCAACTATCGACAGCCTCATAGCAATCGATATGCTTAAGTATAGATAGATTTAAATCCATTAACCATAATAGTGTTGGGCCACTACAAAGTACGGCTTTAAAATCTTGTTTGCTTGCCTCATTCCTAAATATGTAGTCTCAATCCTGGTTAACAGCTTCGCTTAGGAAATTTATCGACTCATGTAGTGCATACAATTAAGTGCATATGGAGCTAACCTTTTACGGTTCGCTTAAGTGCAATGAGCACAATAGTTTGTTTAGCAGATGACATTTCAAAGTATTCGGTGCTCGACTCCACTCGGTTCGCTTTGTTAACCAATGTGCCATAATCTATACAAAGGATGCTTTATGTCTAGGGATTTTCATAGTCATCTCTCTCTCACGCTCTGTCTCTGTCTCTGCCACTATTGTTGTTTGCTTCGAGTCACGTTAAACAGGATTCACTGTGCGCCATTCGGAACACAACAATATGACAATGCAAAAGTTTTGCCTTTATTCGCCCGCTGTTGGGCAAGCGTGGCATTTACTTTCTGACTTCCATTGCATAAACCTTACTGCGCGGCTATAAATTAAAAAATATAACAGTTTTTCATTTATGTAGCGCCCCCGCAAAACAATGGAAACTGTTTGATATAAAAACAAGCAGCAAGAACATAAATTTCATTAATTTTTGCGTAGCCAAATTGTTTCACAAGTTTTTTTTTTCTTGTTTTTCTCTTTTGATTTGGCTTTGTGGCAGGTCAGCCAAGCGCCTCGACGCTTTTATTGTTTTCATAAAAATGATTATCATTTTTTAACACAACGGCACATTGAAAGCCTGTCGGGCAGCGAGCAGAGCACAAAACACGAGTTGAAATAAATGAAATGCATTCCATATTTGCTAAAGCCAGCATTCGCTGACTAACTGCCTTTTGGCCATATATGTAGAGCAAGAGCCAAGCCAAACAACAGTTCTCTATAAATAATTCGTTAAATGAAATGCAATTCTTGAAATAGATGCAATACATGCCACAAATATTTTGGTAAATCTCTCAATTCACAATAGTTTAAAGCTCTGCTAATAAAATTCTTAGCTGGAATTATTTAATGTAATTTTTCAATTTATTTTATTTTAATGATATGTACATATGTATATAAATTAATGCAAAACACGATCCTTGTGATTATTGTTCATTGGATTCTCTGCCATATTTTACTTTTATTACGTTCAAATTTTCTAATTTTTTATGAGACTAACTTAATTCCAAATTAACAATTCAAATTTCAATCGTTTTGTTTTACAGAAAATCCCAAATGAATATAATTGAGCGCGTGTCGTAATTAATGAAAATTTTCCTTGAATCAAAGCTAAACTTAAAATATACAAAACACCCACTTTCATTTGATCTGTGAAATTTGCTGTAAAAATTCAATGTTATACAAATTTAATGCATAACATTCAAGCTGCGAACCGCAGAAGTTGCAAGAATGGCTTATAAAATATTGAAGAGCATTCAAACGCCATCATTTGCAGGCGAAACTTTTATATATATGTATTTGTGCATATATGGTATATGCTCGTATGTATGATATATTTTATAACTTTTCATTGCAGCATTGTGTAGGGCGCTAAACAAAACATTTTGTGCAAAGTGTGCGCTTGTATTTTGTTATCAACGTGTTGACATTCGTGCGAGTTCTGTGTGCCCCTCTGTCTCCTCCCACCGGCACAGTCAGCAACTCCCACGCTCGTTCGCCCCATCTCGCTCCGACCCGCCACCCCCTGGCTGACTTCCGGTCGTAATGCAACCGTGCGTAAGCTGCTTCCGCTTGACAGACGAAGGCTCTCGAGCGCTACGCATACGCATATATATCATTGTCAAATGTTTTCATATCGTTTCATGGCATTTTGCAGAAATTTAAATTTATTGCTTCAATGAAGCGACAAAGCATATAAATTGTAAATTGTTCATAACTAGCGCACACACACACATTAAAAATATATATATTTAGTTATATATAAATGTGTGCGTGCGTGTGTGTGTGTGTCTGTCTGGAGCAGTCTGAAAAAATTCGTGTATTTGTTGAACCGTCAAGTGCAAAAATCAATTGCAGCTACTCGGCCACAGAACGTGTTGCAGCCAGCAATTTGCCAGGACACTTTTGTGGCAGCTGCTGCTGCTGTTGCTGCCTCTGCCTCTGCACAGTCAGAGCTACGTGCCACTTATGTCGCTGCCGAGTTTAGTGGCGCTGGCAGCCAGGCAGTCAACCATGTTGCACGTAAGCCGTAAACGTTTTTAGTGGATTTGTGCGGCGTGGCCGGGTTACGACAGCCATAATGTTTCATTAGTGGGCGCCTAGCTGCTGTTCCTGCTCCTGCTCCTGCTCCTGCTCCAGCTCTAGCTGCGCCTTGTCAGTTTCTGACTTGGCTCAAGCATCCTGCGGGGCTGGCAATCAGCCCTAGCTGAACTCAAGTCACGTTGTAGTTGTTGCTCTTGCTTTTGCTGCTCTGTCCAGACGAGTGTGCTCAAGCCATAATGATCAATGTGCGGCACACTTGCCTGTGGCCAGGCTAAGGCGAAACGAATCAATCGATAGCTAATTTAATAGCAACAGACTTGAAGCAGCGGCTAACTGAGGAGCCTGCGTAAATGTTTTTATTCCAATTAAGTTCAATTCAAAATTAGAAAATAATCAAATACATACTCGGGCTCGCTCAAACGTGAGCTAAATTCATATTCATTATTTAAATTACTCTTTTGTCATTTCATGAGAGCCTTATTTATTAAAACAGGTTTATCTCAAAAAAATGCTAAAATGTAAAAATAATAAATAGTAAATGGAAATATAAAAAAAAATTAAAAATAACTTTAAATTAATGATATAATAAATAATTGGAGACTACATATGTATTAATTATTTTCTTAAGTATTAAAAAATGGAATATAGAATAGACTTTCTTTAAAATTCGAGTAGTTTACTAAAATTAAAGACATTACTATCGTCATGAATTTCGTTTAATTAATTATATTATTGAGACTCTCGAATAAAAGCTAAGAGTTTTCAAATTTCAATTTTAACTTAAAGCTTTATGCAACTCGCAAAATATTAAATTCATCCTCGTCCTTTCCAATTCATAAGAATTGCTAATTCTACTTCTTGCAGTGCGTGCCTACCACGCTTTAAATTGTAATAAATAGAACTGCTTTAATTGTAACTAGATAGAAATCTATTTGTATGTATGCTCAATGATATGCATATATATTTATGTATAAACGGTAACATCCATGGCATAGCACGCAATAAAACGCAAATGTTGTTGGAAAAATATATATGTATACGTCCATAATATAAATTTGTACATTTGTATTGTGCGCCATAAAATTAGGCAGAGACCATTAACAGTGGCTCGGCTCGGCTCGGTTAGGCTCCCAGTTGAATTGAAGGAACGGATGTTTCGCTAGGCTTGGCAGAGAGAGCGTAGAGTGGGCAGGATTGCAAGGATTGCACATTAGTTTTAATGCATGTTTCATGCGCCATTAGGCTTAATTAGTGGCATTCGCGTTGACGTCGCCCGGCTCAACTGGAATGGACTTCAATGTTGTAGCAGCTCTCAGGGGCAGGACCATGGCCTTAACGGCATGTAATTTGCCATGCGATTGCAATTGCAACTGCATTGCATGCATCCAGGGGCTGTATAAATCTATATAAACCCATATCAAGGCCAGCCTGAATAAAGCGAACTGAAGATTTAATTAAGAAAAATAATAAATGCATGCCTCCAAGCGACTGCCAACTGGCAGCAACAACAACAACAACATCATTTGCTACATAAATTGTCGTTGGAATACGGTAGAGTTTGCGGCTCTGCGGCGCTCTGAGTTGTCGAGTTCAGTGAGCTTTTGAGGTTTCCATTTACATTGCGATGGCCGTATCGTAAGTTAGCCTGCAAATACCAAATTTAGCTGCTCATTGCTACCGGCACTCGTTTTGCCAAAAACAGCCAACGACAAACACAACCTGTCAGCTGAGAGAGAAGAGTGCTGCCCAAGTTAGCCTTTTTTAAAGCTGAAATTTAACTGAGCAATTGAGATACAGTTATTAACTCCATAATTTAGCCTTTTTTGGCTAGAATTGAATGATATGATGATGAGATAAGCAATTACCCACACAAGTTGGCCTTTTCTGGTGTCTAAACTCAACTATTAGCAATAAAGGTACATTTTATTAACTGCACAAGTTATCGTTTTTTGATAAAGTATTTAAATAAGTCTTATTCACTACAAACAATAGTTTTTTTTTTTTTTTTTGTCCAAAATGATGACTAATTGAGATACATTTCATTAACTACAGAAGTTAGCGTTTCTTGACTAAAATTAATGATGGGTAATTGCACAATTTAATAATTTTTTCCCGAAGTAACTTGAACTTTAATTTTAATTAGATCTGTAAAAATTATTTTCATTTCAAAATTTTAATAAAATTATATTCACTGGTGTTTTTAATAGATTTATGGAATTTCAATTCCACTTGAAAAAGAATGAAAAACTTTTTCTTTTTTTACACATAAATCAAGCAATAATAATAAGAACAACATAAACAAATTTATATTAATTGCCTTAATTGTTGTTGTTTTCAATTTGAATATGCTCAGAGCATGACTCAATAATTGCACAAGAGCATTAAAAATTCGATGTAGCTCTGTAGCTTAGTTAACTGGCCCAAAACGCCCAGCTATGTTGCCATTGAGGAGCAACGCATAAAAAGCTAAATTATAGTCAGAGTCAGCCATCTCAAATGAACCAATAGAGACAGCCAAGAAAACCAAGAAAGCCAAGCAACCAAGAAGACAAGTTCCTGTCAATTTGTCACTGATTTTTTATTTTCTATTTATTTTTTGTACTGTTTGCTTAATATTTTTGTAAATTAATGGCGCAAACACAAAATAATTCCAGAACCAGAAAAAAAATGTTCACCTTGTAAAAGTCAAGACCAAGACATCAAATAAATTGCAGGCAAATCAAAATAAACAACAGACGCTGAATAATGTAAAAATCGACAACGAAAATTCTACAAATAATTTACAACAACAAACAGGCCGCGTTGAAATGAAAAGCCAACAAAAAAAACAAAGAAAATGTAATGCTGATGCTCTCTGATTATCAATAAACAAAAGTGCACATCAGTCGATAAATAGAGCGTTTGTAATGCCAATGACAGGGCAGCTGAGCTCTATTTCAAGTGCCGATGACCCATAGATGTACACCATTAAAAGGTCAATTCAAGATGTAAAGCCTTAATGGCTTACTCATTGTTGTCAGTTCAAAAGATATATGGCTTACAAGCAACTTGGGAATAGAATTTACAAAGGAATAACTTAGAAATTTGTACGCAAATGCACTACCAGATTTATATTTATATTTATAT